TGGCTGAGTCATATATATTTCTTCATTAAGATCACCATGAAGAAATATCGTCTTCACATCCAACTAGACTAATTTCAATCCATACTGTGCCACCAAAGCTAGCAAAATCTGAATCGAAGAGTGTTTCACCACAGGAGAGAAAACGTTATTATAATCAATAATTTCCTCCTGTGCATAGCTCTTCGTAACCAACCTAGCCTTGAACCTCACTGGAGTACCCTCAATGCCCTCTTTCTTCGTGTATACCTACTTGTAACCAATCACCTTCCTCCCCTTTGGAAGCTCAACAAGCTTCCACGTATCGTTCTTGTGAAGAGACTCCATCTCCTCCTGCATAGCTACCTGCCATGAATCAGCCTCCGAACTCTGCTCGGCCTCTCTGAAAGTAGTAGGCACCAACTCATCGATACTCTCCACCGGAAGTGCATATGCAACTACTGTGTCGGTATACTATGCTGGCATCCGTATGTCTCCCCTCTGTCTCTGACCCATAATAGAATCCTGAACCTGAGCCGTCAGTCCCTGATCCTACACATCTGTACCCGTATCCTCCTCGTCATCGCCGTGCTCGCCTGACATCACCTCAGTCGACACTCTAATGGATACTATACAATCTAGACAATGTGGAGCTGCATCGATCTCCACCACCTATGATATCTCCTCCGTCGGGTCACTCTCCATCTGATGAGAGCTGGGAAGCTTCAAGATAGAAGCCTCATCAAACGTAACATCCCTACTCAGCATAATCTTTCTATCAACTGGATCTCATAGCTTGTATCCCTTGACACCACGCTTGAATACTATAATTATGGCCTTCCTAGCTCAAGGTTCCAACTTATCAGTCTTCACATGATAGTATACAGGGCATCCAAATACATTAAGCTAGTCATAGTCGTGTGCTGACTCTCCCGACCATATCTCCATAGGGGTCTTCCCCTCAATCGTAGACGAAGGTAGTCTGTTAATAAGGTGGCTCGCATATGAAAGTGCATCAGCCCAAAAGATCTTCTCCAAATCACTATGCGCCAACAAACATCAGATCTTTTCCAACAAAGACCGATTTAACATCTTTGCCACCCCCATTCTGCTATGGTGTATGACTAACTGTGAAGTATCTCTCTATGTCCTGGTCTTGATATAGCTGTAGAAAGGGGTCTGATGTGTACTCGTCACCGTTGTCGGATCGCAACGTCTTGATCTTTCTTCTAGTCTGTAGTTCCAACCTCTTCTTCCACTCTATGAATATATCTAGGACTTCACTCTTCTTCGCCATGGTGTACACTTAATAACGTCTAGAATAATCAGCAATGAACGTGACGAACCAATATCGACCACCAAGTGAAGCAGTCTTGGTGGGACCCTAAATATTTGTGTGCACATAATCCAGGATGCCCCTCGTCCTATGAATGGCTATCCCGAACTTCACCTTCGTCTTCTTGCCAAGAACACAGTGCTCACAGAACTCAACTTTTCCACTCTTGGTTCCCTTCAATAGCCCATGCTTGCACAGCGCCTGCAGTAACTTCTCTCTTATGTGCCCCAATCTGTAATGTCAAAGTCTGCTAATGTCCGCCTCTGAAATAGCTGAAGCAACCTGACCAAGAACATAGTGCTCACAAAAACTCAACTTTTCCACTCTTGGCTCCCTTCAATAGCCCCTCCTTGCATAGTGTCTGCAGTGACTTCTCTTCTGTGTTTCTCAACCTGTAATGCCAAAGTCTGCTAATATCCGCCTCTGAAATAGCTGAAGTAACATGGCCAATCTCGGTGCTCCCCTTCAGATAATATAAGTTCTGACTGTGGACTCCCTTCATCACCATCAAAGATCCCTTAGTAACCTTTGCTACAACATCCTCAAAGGTCACCCTGAATCCCTTTGCTTCCAAAGCTCTAACTGAGATAAAATTCTTCTTCAACTGAGGAACAAATCTCACCTCCTTCAATTCACGGACTACTCCATCGTGCATCTGAATTCTTATGGTACATATCCCACAAATACCACAGGATTGATCATTTTCCATGACAACAATACCTCCATCGAGTCTTTCAAATAATGAAAACCAATCTCGCCTAGGAGTCACATGATAAGTAGCGTCAGAATTAAGCATACAATTTGATGCATCCAAGTGGTTCACCTCCGGAGTAATCAATTGAGAAAAGCTCGAATCATCGGAATCATCATCTTTCGTAATATTCACCTTATTGGCCTTTGGACCCTTCTTCTTGCTATTCTCCTTCTCCTTGATCTTTGAACAGTCTCTCTTCTAATGTCCCTACTCCTTGCAGAATGCACATTGGTTCTTTCATAGCTGGTGATGGCCACTTGACTTTGGCCTGTAACTATTACCACCTCTCGGATATGAGCTTCTACCTCTCGTCGACAAGGCCTCTCCTGAAGTACTAGCGCGAGAAGTCTCATTGTCCTTCCTCCTCAAATCATAATTTGTTAAAGCGTTAGTTACTTCACTATAAGTGATAGAAGATCTCCCATTCAACAAAGTAATCACAAATATATTATACTCCTCATCCGGTAAGGAGCCCAACAAAATATTAGCCTTGTACTTATCCGATATCTTCTCATCAATATTTGTCAAGTCCGACAATAACTTAGTATAGTTGTTCACATGAACTGCTAGTGAGGTTGTTCACATGAATTGCTAGTGAGGTACCCCTGAACATCTGAAATCTGAATAACCTACGCAGCAAGTGTAATCTGTTCTCAACACTTTTCGTAAGATACTTATTGTTGAGAATTTCCCACATCTTTATTGCAGACGTCACCCCAATCACATCATATTTCAACTCATGTTCCAAACAAGACCTTATCACCCCACAGGTGTTCATATTCATATTTTCCCATATCGCATCTTCATATTTTGGTTTCCTCTCATGGACCATGATGGTCTCCTCTAAATTCTGAGCATTGAGCGCATCCTGAACATCTCATCTACAAACCAAAATTGATATTATCGTCATACTTCACCACATTAATTTTAGTGTTCTGAAAACCAACTTGAACTGTATCCGCCATCTTGCTGCTTTCACCAACTTCTTCACCCATGATCACAAACTCTAAATTATAAAGAAAGATTCAAACTTGATATAATTTAGAAGTTACCCAACTGAACCCTAGAACGGATTCCAAATAGATCTCCTAACCATATGAGGAAAGCAAAATCTTCAACGATAACCCCAAACACTATTTCCACCGAAGCCTAGAACTCCAAGAACCAAGCTTCCACAATGAATCTTCCTCCACCTAATGCCAAAACCCTAGATCTAAAATTTATGCTCTGATATCAATTGTTGTGCTCTGATACCAATTGTTGCACGCCTATGCGGAAGCGTGCTCGTACACCGAACGAATTTGTGATCACGGGAGAAGAGAACCAACTATACACGAGCACAGTTCAATCCAAATACGACAAATCAAACCAAACACAGAGATATACGTGGTTCGGCAATTTGCCTTCGTCCACGGGGAGAGGATGTGGAGATTTCACTAAATCAAGGAGAGTACAAAGAGCTACAATCTCACAAAATCACTCACACAAACCTTAAACCAAATCTCTCAACTTGCTCACAAGTTCTCCCTCTCAAAGTGCCCTGAATACTCACAAATCTCTGATAAGAAACCCTGGAAAATCGTGTTTTTATTTATATCAAAACAGAAACCCAAACCAAACAGGAAATCAAAACAGGCATGAAACCTGTCCGTAAGTCAACTTAACAGTGGGAACAAGTCGACTTATCATAAGTCGACTTAACAGTCGTTATAAGTCGACTTGACAGAGACCAAAACAGCAACTGGAGAACAGATCGTGAGTCGACTCATGCATAGTCATAAGTCGACTTACCATAAGTCGACTTATGTTTATGTATGAGTCGACTTACGACAAAAAAACTGGTTTTTCTGAGTTCTCCACATCTTATTTGTTGACCGAGACATGTATTGCTTCTTGTTATTTTGCCCAAGACATGCGATCGATTTTGTACCTATCTTTTTATATATACAAGGACCATCATTTTCCATTTGCAGGCACTAATATTTTCGCAATTTATGTTTTGCCACCATTTACCCACAATGAAAATAAATATTTGTTCTCATTTTTACCGAGACATGTATCATTTCTTTTTTTCTGACTTGAGACTAGGGGTGAGCACGGTTCGGTTCAAACCGAAAAAACCGACCGAACCGACCCAAAAAAAGCGGTTTTATGAGTAAGACGGTTCGGGTTGGGTTGACAATTTTTCAAACCGACCCGACCCGAACCAACCGAATATATTCTCTTGCCTCAAACCCTACCCGTTTACCCGTTTACCCCAAGGCAAAGCAAGTCCGTTACTAAAAAATTACAACGTCAGAGTCTAGTATTTAATCCAAAAGGACAAGTTACTTCACTTAAAAACAGTATACATACATGAGCAAAAATAATAAATTGAAGTGAAGTTAAAAAATAAATACATGCTGGCATAGGGTAATAAGAATATATAAAAGATAAATTGAAGTGAAGTTATACTTGATGAAGTTAGAACCGAACAAACCGAACCGAACCGCACCGAACCGATTTGCAATGGTTCGGTTCGGTTTTGAATTGGAGGTGGTTTGGCTCGGTTGTTCAAATTTTGATAAAAACCGATCCGAACCGAACCGTGCTCACCCCTACTTGAGACGCGTGCGGCTTCTTGTTTTTTTTTCTAGTTCTAGTGAAAACATACATTGCTTCTTGTTATTATGTTTGAGACACGTGGACAATTTGCACCTACCTATTTTGTGCGCTGAGGACCTTTTTCCATTTTGGCCACCCCTATTTTCACACCTTATGTCCTCCCACCATTTTACCTAATAAAAAGAAAAGCAAATCTTTAGACGATAAGACCCTTTAATATAATGGCAATAATGAGGAGAGAGAGAGAGAGACAAATGTGCAGGGGACAAAAAGGAAAATATATAAATATTTTTAAAAGGCAGACAATAGTGAGCTAATTTTCGCATTATTTTCCACTTTCAACTCATCTCCTCCCTCTCCTCTCCTCTCCTCTCCTCTTAAAACCATCTCTTTCCGATTCTAAAAATGGCGACTTGGGTTTTCTGAACCTGAAGATTCGTGCCCAGCTGCCTCTTTCCTCTAATTCCGAGGTCCGAACATTGAATCCTTCTTGTTTTCGCTCGGTTCTTTTGGAGAGTTCTTTCTCTGTTGAGTAAATTCAAGCTTCTTTTTAGAGTATTAGAACGAAATTGGTTAGTTTTAGCTATACCTCTGCAGCCCCTTTATGATAATTGATTGCGTTATCTGTTATCTGAGCTGAGCTCAGCTGATTTTCTCCATGTCAGCTTCTGTTATCGACTGTTAGAATTCTTAAGTTGCTCCCTCTGTATGTGTTTTGGGTGTTCTTGTGGTATTAAAAAAACGTTTTTTTTTTATTTTTTATTTTTTTTACAGGGAGAAACAATGAAATTTCCTTATCTACATACTATGGGAAATTTTTTAAATTGGATAACTTTCCAATTTTGCACTTTTTAATTTCCTTATTCATGGGGGAATGAATTGGGGTGTTGTTTGTGTAGGAATATATGAAAATTGATTGATGTTTATATGATTTAAGGATTATATAACTTGTTGCTGATTTAAGTGATTGATCAGTAAATCTTTTGCCTAAGGGTGTGAATTTATTATATTTAACCTTTTACCTCCCAAATTACAAGTAACTCTTACTACAGACGCAGCTACTTCTTTTCGCCTGAAGAAGTTTATTTTTCTTGTACTCCCTAATATTACGTCACCCTCAACCAACAAGTATATTTATGCTTATTAGCCCAGTTAACTGCATTAATCTGCTGACTGTTATTTGCTTCTGCTCGATAAAATTCATGTTTTACCTTTCCTACAGTCTTTATAGTCTTACCGTTTGCGTAAACTAATTATGTAGCAGCTGTAGAAGTGAATATGATGAGGGAGTCTGAGAATTTCACATTCGTTAATTATGAGAGAACTTTATGATTTAGCCTAGTGTGTGATCTGTCTAACTATTAAACAAACAAAAGCAGATGATCCTACTGTGTTAAATTTTCGTATCTAGATTTTATTTTCGTCTTCTCTTCTCTTATTCATTACTTCATGAATTGCTTTTGCAGGGTAATAATTTTCCCTTCGTTCTTGCAGTTCAAATAAATATGATATCTCCGACTCAATTTGACACCTGTAGGAGTATGGAAATGTTTGCGACCAGTCATCAAATTAGCATGTGGGATGACTCCTTTAAACCAGAAAGCAGTCAAAATACCGACTCATCCACAGTTGTAGAGGCAGAGGGCAAACTTGACAATAGGGTGAGCCGTTTTCAGCTTTATTTTTCTCTACTGGCTTTAAAATATATGTTACATATATTTTCTTCCTTGTTGATGATAATATCTTTGTTTGTAGTGATAAAATGTATTGCATAATGATTTTTGTAGTTAGAGGATGCTCTACATGAAATGTTAAGGCCATCAACGCAATTTGAGCAGGAAGCAAACAAGCCTTCAGACAAGGTAAGCAGACCACAAAATGTGAGAAATCTAGAGTTATGCATCGAAAGCAGTAATTGATTGGAGTATTTGGACTTCTTTATTAGTTGAAACTTTAGGCTTTCTGTACTTAGTACATGGTTACTATTTAAGAATGATTTTGTGGAACCGATATTTTAGCTATGGAACTACATATGCACCTAAAATTTTTTCAGGTAGAGTCTCTGGATGGTAGTGTTTGTGTACTTCTCTGGTTGGAAAAAGTTGAAAAGTTACCTGAATGTTGTTGGATAATGATTGACTTATGCAGGTAGTAAGACGTCTTGCACAAAATAGAGAGGCTGCCCGCAAAAGTCGTCTAAGAAAGAAGGTAGATTTATAAAATTAAAAAAAACCTCTAGGCACCAGCATTTTTATCTTCATAACACAGAAGAACCTAAATGTTAAATGAGTATTACCAATAAATAATGGAATTAGATATTCAGCTGTTACTTCCCCCTGTAGGCTTACATTCAACAACTAGAATCAAGTCGTATTAAGTTGGCTCAGATTGAGCAGGAGCTTGAGCTAGCCAGACAACAGGTAATGACACTAGTTTCTTTCTTTTTTTCTTTCCCCCTTCTATTTTCTTAACTGCTCTTTAGCTAATAAGATGAAATCTGAGTTGCAGGGTTTATACATGGGTGGACATTCAGGAAATTCTACCCTGGGGCAATCAGTTAATTCAGGTGTGCTTACTACTTGAGTTTTATTATATTTTTATGCCTAATGCTTTAAAGCATCTTATGCTAACTTTGCATTACTTAGGCATTGTGAGGCTTTAGTTTTTTGAATGCTAAGAGAACTGTTTTCCCCCATATTTCTTTTTGAAATCTTATAGCTTTGGCATTGGCTATTGTATGATTATAAGTATGCCATGCCTATTTCAAGTATCGTCTAGAGCTTCATGTTGGTGACACATGAACCCGATTTCTGTGTTATTTTAAAGATAGAAAATATCTTCTCATGAAACAGTGCACATTCTAGTCGCTCATTATTACTTTGTGAGCCCTGCTAATCTAGAACATGATATATTTTATCTTCCAAGTATTCTATTAGTTTATATAATACTACGGGGAGACTCTGGTTTGACATCCTCCAAGGAGAGACAAGTAGATCACAACAGAAAAAAAATGCCTCCTTGACACACTGAATTTCTCTAATGACTATGGAGTTTTAAGAAAATTTAGACATCATCTTTAGGTCCACACGATTTTCCAGAAATCTTTTTCTCCATTCCTTATAGGCGCTTGCAGCCAATGATTCACCCTTCTAACCTCTTTATAAAATCTTTCAATCTGGAACAGTTCGTAATAAATATGAAAATTCTACAATATGAAGGTATTTAAACAGGAAGGGTTCCATACTTTGCAAAAGATTATGTATTGATTCTACAAAGGGATTAAGGGGGTGATCCATTGATTTCAAGAGGGCTAAAATAATGGAGAATGGTATGGGGGGAAATATTGTCTAAAAAATCACATGAGCTTAAAGCACAACTTCCCCAAGAAATTTTAATATTTCGCTTAAAAATTCATTGTCTTAAATATCCAATGCAAATATGTAAAAGGATCTGGCTTTATTCTTTTTTCTTATTCGACTCATGAGAAACTTAATACAACTAACTGAGATTTTTCCTCATAATGTTATTGACTATAGCCTTGTGAGTTATTGTAGGAATTGCTGCTTTTGAAATGGAATATGGACATTGGATTGAAGAACAGAATAGGCATGTTCGTGAACTCAGGGCTGCTTTGCAAGCAAGAGTATCTGAAATAGAACTCCGGATGCTTGTAGAAAGTGGAATGAGACACTATGAAAATCTTTTCCGGATAAAAGCAATTGTTGCCAAGGCTGATGTCTTCTACCTTATGTCTGGCATGTGGAAATCATCTGCCGAGCGTTTCTTTCTCTGGATTGGAGGCTTTCGACCTTCTGGGCTCATAAAGGTGATTTAGCTTTATTTTGGGACATATAAAGCTGTATTGCCTCTAGTTCTGTAGTTTCTTCCTTTATTTAGCATCTAACTATTTCCTTGGCCTGGTATTTGATTGTATGCATCAATTTCTACTCATACACAAGAGTTAGGGTTGTTAAAATGATTGCTTCCTAATTTTTTACTCGTTTTTTATTTGGGGGAAATTTGTAGATTCTTTTTATGCCTTACTTTAGAGGTAAGTGGTAACCAGTACATAATGTGTATACGGCTATACGCTGTAATCCTACTGTTAAATTTACATAGTGGTGCCTCTGAATTTTGTATTATGAATGTGGAAAACTTACTTAACATTTGTGGTGGCTATGAAAAACAGCCAAAATCACAATATGTTTCTGTTCATCTTGTGATTACAATGAGAAAGTTATCATAGTAGGCCGTTATGTTGATCCCAATGCCTATTTTCTGGAAGTTTACATAGTCAACCATCTTTCTTTTGAAGTATCAATGCAAACGGTTAGTTATTGTAAACGTCATCAAGAATGGCTATAAGTTTATAACAACAATGATAATTGATAACAACAACATGCCTTTTGCTAAGAGTCTATTTGGCTCAAGATGCAATACAGACCCATTTGTAGTTCTCTTGTGCATCTTGTGATTAGAAATGAAAAGTTTCACTGGGTTGATTAGATTTATGATTTAACAGTATCTTAAGCCATGTTATTTTGTTCTGAGCATCTAGTAAAACATTATAGTGTGAATCCTCAATTTACTTGGTATATATATGTATATAGTCAATGCTGAAATCCTTCATCCTGAAACCATATGCATTGGCAACCTAACTGTTACATTTTCATTGCAGTTTGAGATGCTCTTGATCCAAGTAAACAATGATTCTCAATTTGGAAAACCTTCTGCGAACATTGCTTGTGTATTTGTTCATATTGTTATGATAGGATTTCTTCTGCTTCTATGTTTTCTCTTTTACGCATTATTTTTCCTTACATCTTAAGAAGAATCTGGGCTTATTTGCAGATAGACCCTCCGTACCAATTGCGGATAAGCCGCTGTAGATAAACCCCCCTGAATGAAATTTTTTGACTCTTCTATCCTCAGAGAAAGAATAATTTGCCTTTGACAAGTAGACCTTCTGAGGGCGAAAGAGTCAAATAAATTTTACTTAGGGGGTGTATCTGCAACAAGTATAGGATTTCTATCTGCAATTGGATGATAGTACAAGGGAATTACCACAATTAACCCAAAAATCTATAATATCTGGAAGATGCGTGAACTTTGAGCAATCCTTGCTCACCTGCTTCTCTTGGTGTTCTACAGATTCTCTCCCCTCAACTGGACCCTCTAACTGAGCAGCAAGTAATGGCCGTTTGTACCCTGCAACAATCATCTCAACAAGCTGAAGATGCTCTTTCTCAGGGATTGGATAAACTTCAGCAAACCCTTGCTGAAACGATAGCAACAGACCCTTTAGATGCTTCTGGAGTGGCAAACTATATGGGTCAGATGACTCAAGCTATGGAAAAGTTAGACGCCCTCGAAAACTTTGTCAATCAAGTAATGTTTCATAACCCATTATCTTGCAATCTCTTTAGTCGCAATTTCCTTATCCCTGGTCTCTTGGATCTCTTTATTGCTTTATGTGACAGAAGAACTAAAGAGTTTAGAGTTGGAGCCATGAAGAGATGAGCTAGGGAAATCTCATAATTTGCCATGTACATTTCGAAGTTTGGGGTTTTGTCATATTAGACCCCCAAATCTTTGTTTAACTCTATATTATTTCCTCAGTTCTATACATTTCTAAATTAGATCCCAAATCTTTGTATAGGTTCGAAATTGGGGTCTTATATATTTAAAACAACTTAATAGGTTTGTGGGTCTTATTTAAACAACTTAATAGATTTCGGGGTCTTATTTAAAACAACTTACTGAATTTGACGGTCTACTTTATAGATATGAAGATTTTTTTGGTTTTTTTTTGTGTGGAGGGGGTTGGGGGGGGGGGGGGGTGGTAATATAACGAAAACCCTTTGAAGTTAATGAGACTTCAACAATAATGAACACGACAATGACATCTAAGAACATTCTTTTACGGAACAGGCGGACCATCTAAGGCAACAAGCACTTCAACAGATGCACCGGATCCTAACAATACGTCAAGCTGCACGTGCGCTCCTTGCCTTGGGTGATTACCTTCAGCGCCTGCGTGCTTTGAGCTCCGTTTGGGCTGCTCGCCCTCGAGAACCCATCTAGAAAACCAAAGAGAGTTTTGTAAAGTTGCCTGATTTTCCTTTTCGGTGGCTGGGGTAATTGTATAATCATACGTGCCATGCATGGAGGTTCTTGAAGGTTTGTTAGGTAAAAGGGAGGGAAATGTGTAAATATTCAGCCGGGTGTATAATAGTTTAGAAGCTCCCCTATCTATGTTTAAAGTGTAATTTATGATTCAGCTATTTGCAGTCATAATAATGTTATATAGTATGTAGTATAATTCAGTTTGCGGGGGAAGGATAAGACGTGATTTGTCATGATCATGCGATGGCAGTTCTCTAGATTTTAGACATTATCTGCTACAATTTTTGTCTGTGTTGTTAATTATTCGAAGGAAATAGCTTTAGGAGATTATTGTGTAGGGATTGTTGAGAGCCATATCTATCTGGAAGAAGTTTAAGCAGAACCAGTGTCAAAATGCTCTGCTGATTGTTGATTATTTACGTCCATGATGTTGCAATTACAGTCTTTCTGCAACCGCTGTTGGAAAAAAAATGATAATAATAAAATACAATTATGTAAAGAAATAGGTACCATTACCACCGTTACTGTCCTTTTGCAAATCGTAAACATGTAGTGGTAGTTTTTCACGTAACCTTATCCTTAAAGAGGACATATTTGCTAACAGGGTAGAAGCTCAAACAGAATCTGGAAATCTTCGTACGGTATCCACACTCCGCATTTTTGCCAAGATTCTTTGAAGCTATACCCATACTCATACCTTAAACATAGACCTTTACTTTAATTCACAACTGAGATGAATCTTTCGGCGAACCATGCACATGTGTACACTCCTATTTATCAAGGAGTTGTGATTTAATGATCTTGTAGTACTCCTCAACTAGTTCAGTTAAAAAAAAAAAATACTTCTGACAAGAATACATTCTATTCACAATCATAGAGCCAAGTGTTAGATTTGGTGACCCCAAACTTATTCTCTTGTGTCCCCCAAAATTTAGCGCATGCCATCCGAGTCTCAGATTCGATGATAAGACGCACGACACAATGGTATAAAGAGGGTAACAAAGCTGACTGAATTTCTCTAAATTTTCATTCCTCTCTCTAAACTTGTATTCCAATCAACACAAATGTTTCATTACAGATGGGGTGATTCAATCCAATTCCCCTCCGTCTCCTTGTCCACCCAGTTGGACCACTGCAACACACAGCTCTTCTACTTGATTTCTTACCTGCCCGAACTCTTTAGAAACTTCACAACCCTGATATAGCATAATCCAATGCGTCGACTAAGAAATCTACACACCAGAAAATTAAGCCATTTCAGACGATATTTTATATGCTAATCATTTTATTGATAGGCAGAGATAACTGTGAGAGACCTGCGTCTGCTCTTGTGAAGCACATTGGTGGTTTTATTCTGAAGACATTTCCATGAAGTCCTCCTTTCCCAACTAGGACACCAAGATCTACAATAAGAGCGGAAGTTTGTGAATTTAATAAGAGCAGAAGTTTGTGAATTTTATCTCCAAAACACAAGTAGCAGTGTTTTGAGTAAAGTTGAAGACCATACCCTTCAGCTTCTCAAACAATACTCCTGTCTCTACCTTGGCAGGAGTCTTCTCTTTTCTATCAGTCACAAGCTCTACTCCTAGCATCAGACCCCTGCCTCTCACATCTCCAATGACTGAGACAAAGCGAATAGTCATTAATAAAGGAAATTTCATTGACATAGATGTATTGGTGGATGAATTGTTTGACTGCTTATTCTTTCTTAAGTAGACAGGCCTTCCTATAATTTTAACAACTGTGATTTGTACCCAAACTCTTAATCATGGGTTATTTTAGCGCACAGCTAATTTTTTGAAATCCTAATCCTAATGGTATCAACAAATTGAAAGATCGCTCCAATATTAACTATCAAAAAGTTAAGAGGATTACTTTCATGCTTTTGCTGAAGTGCTGTCAACCGCTCAACTAAGTGGGACCCAACATCAGCACAATGACCTTGTCGCTTTTCCTTGTCAAGAGCCTTGAGCACTGCAAGTCCACCAGCAGAACACACAGGGTTCCCACCAAAGGTATTGAACTGAATTTTTTGAGACATCACTTGTGCTATTTCAGGAGTTGTCACCACTGCTCCTAGTGGTAAACCATTGCCAATACCCTGAAATATGCAGTAAAATCAAATAACTGCAGTGGAAATTCAGGCATGCAATGGCATTATCCAACCTTGTTGTATGAACATCAACCATCAACATACCGCAAGTCTGCGTTTGGTTTGGAGGGGGGTTTTCTAAGGAATAATTTTCCTATTTTATGGGAATTGAATCAAAGCAAAAGAGGAGTAAAGAAAATGACAAACAGGTTAAGGGTAGAACCAGTGCACTATCACCAAATTGATCTTACAACCCCTGCAGTTCCATTGTTGCCGAAAAGAGTTAATAGAACCTCTGAGCCAAAAATCTATTGCGGCAGGTAGACCCCCTGCAGATAGACTCAGGAGGTCTATCTGCAAAAATAGAATTACAGGGATAGTAAGTACAGTTTGGCGATAGTACAGGAGGTTATCCGAAATTAACCCAGAAATATGGTTTAGTATTTATCTTCTGTTAGATCCCTCACTCTCCAGCCCCCAAAAAGGTACAGGTCATAGAATCAAGAAAAATAACTCGTTTCGTTCTTTATTTATCTTGCCATTTCTGTTTTATTCACTTTTTATGTCCTCCTAGACATTCAAACACAGTTAACAACAATAGCTAAATGCCTTCTGCATTTTTGGTATCTCGTGGATATAATATTTAACATATGCATGTAATCTGCATACCTTCGCCATTGTGACTATGTCTGGAACAACACCCTGAGTCTCAAATCCCCAATAGTGACTTCCGGTGCGACCAAACCCACTCTGAACTTCATCGGCTATGCAAACACCATCAGACTTGCGAACAATATCATACACCAACTTTAGGTAGCCAGGAGCCAGTTCAACAGCACCTCCGACTCCCTAAAAAAGTTTGGAAAAAATTGTTGGGAAACTGTTTCTAAAATAAAAGAATTGTTTGAATTTCATTAGAATTCAGGAGCTCACACCTGAAAAGTTTCAGCGATAAATCCTGCAACTTTGCCAGAAGTACCATAAGCAATATGATCTTCTAATTCTTTCGCATAACGTGTAGCATCAGATCCAAATACCCCACGGTATGGATCAGGATTCATGATGTGATGGATTTCACCCTGTAGTAGTTAGAAAATAAAGGACTGAGACATGCTTTAATTAACCGAATTATATGCCACTTTGTTTAGGAAAGGTATTATAGCATAGAAAATATCTTCTATGAAAAAGAAAAACTCTTTTTATGGCTATTTCTAACTTGACCTCTTTTCTTACTATTTTGCAGAAAAAAGTACTTATTCATGAGTTTTTGACCTTTTAAAAGTAGGAATAGCTCGCCAATTGTCTGCTCGCTTTCCATAACATGGGAGGAACTACATGGAATGAGCGTAAAACTAGGAACTATGGCACTTTAGGAGAAACCTAAGAACTTACATGCTAAAAGCCCTAACGCAACTTTAAAATGTATACCACACGCTCGTCGATGAAATAAATACAAAGGTAAGTGTTTTTAATTTCACTTAAAAAGTAGAATAAATTAGAGAACAGGGAATGAAAGTAAAATAATACAGATGACAGGCAACATACTCTTCCAAAAAATGAACACAGGAGGTGAGTAAGTAGGAGAACTGATCTGCTAGCAAGCAGTCATAACTATAAAAGGAAGATATCAAAGGAAATGCAAATGCATGCAGCATGCCTGCTTCGATTATACTGGTTAATCCTCCTTCAAATTGACCTCAAAATGAGTTTTTCCTCTTCAAATCAATAATAACATCCATGAAGGAAATCATACCTGAAAATTTGACCATATTTAGTTATTTCTATTAAAAAAGACTCAAACTGTATTAAAGTGGATAAACCTAACTGTTTCATTCTACTGTTGCTTGAAGAGCTCCGGTTCTAACTAATTAATTTTACCTTCTTCTGATCACTGCATGAATTTAATTCTTAATGTTCTTAACAACTATGAATTAGTTTTGACTCAACAAATCTTCTTTATTTCCAAGGGATAAAAAAATGGCATCCTTATTTTTTTTTCCAGATAAACCTGCTCCTAGTCATGGTTCTGCATTTATTTATCTCCATAGACAGCTGTTTCGCAATTGTCTAGCATTGCATTCCGAACTTATCATGAGGGTTCTTGCATCCCTCTTTACCTACTTTCAGATATACTTAAGCACTCCTTGTTCTTCTTTCCTACCCAAACGCCTACTTTATCTTCAAATTGTTTACTCGACTCTCCACAGTTCCGTCTTTTTTAACATGCCTACTCAAAAATTTAATCATTTCATTCACCTTGAGTAGAAAAAAATTCACCAATCCAATGACTTATTTATTGCGAGATAAAAGAAAATTAAAACCTCAACCAACGATATTAGGATGACTCCAGACCCTTGAGTATGGGCACATGTTGCATCACTATATGACGATTGAAGAAAAACATGCATAATTAATTAACGAAACCCAGAAGTCCCACCAAATCAAATGCCTTGTGGAGTCTATCTGATTCAAATTTAATAAATACCAGTTTAGTATACACCCTTCTGCAATCAAATTTTCGTTAAAGAGTTATATACATTATAGTTATTTTTTAAAACTAAGGCTTTAACTCCCAAAAAAAAATTAGATGGAGGCAAATGATTCATGCATATGATTCTTAGTTTTTGTGATGAAGATTTTTTGTTATACTTGGCTTTCAATTACATGTGTATCTGAAAATACTCAAAAATGAAGTAGTCAATGAGCAAGACTCCTATCAACTTAAGTTGATGTCCACCAAAGTTTGTAGCCACACATTTATTAATATAAAACACCTTTTTATATAATACATGGATCCCTAGGCATTATGAGTGGTTAAAAACTTTGGTGGACACACTATTCTCTATCCACTTAAGTTGACACAAGTTTTTACCGTAGTCAATAGTAATTACTGATGCATTATCTCAGAAGAAAAGCAAAATCACTGCTTAGGCATGGCATTAACCTGAGGTATTGGGTATTTCCAAGTATTCAAAGCTGTTAGGCCAATTGTTCCTGCACTTCCACCATGATATGCATTTCTCAGGGCAACCATGTTAAGGTTACCAGTGTATAGACGAGCCATCAATGTTGCTAACTCATTAGCTTCAGTACCCGAATTGACAAAATAAACAACCTGCGCATTAAACAAAACATTTGACATGGTATACATATATGTCCAGAAAGGGATTATAAAGAACCCTTGTGATGTTATTGAACAGCTGGCTTTTGCCATATTTTCAAGATTTAATCTCCCCTCCAACAACAGCACAAAAAGCTAAAAAGGAAAAAAAAAAGTTAAATAATGTTGTAGTATTTCATGTATCAGAGTGCTTAGCTTATGTCTATGATCATAGTTATTGAATTTATCTAACCAATGAATCTCTGATTACTAACACCTTACATAGAACACATGCACAAAAACATACACTAAATAATGTACATGATGGAATTTCTTATAGCCTGTATGCTAACTGATTTCACTTCTTTCTGATTTATGCTTGAGAGAAACATACATGAATTACATTTTTTAAGACGTTATTTATGTGTTACCTTATATAGAGCAAAAACCTCTTTTGGTTTGAAGTCAATAACCATTCAAAAATTATATGTCATTGAAGGGCACAAGTGCGTGCAGTAGATCAGTGTACTCATAATTCATCTGTGCTTTGTGAAACCATTTTTACAAAATTATTTCAGAACTTTATTGATTCAGTCCCCTGCATCTCAGAGTATGCTGAATGTTCTTTAATGACACGAATCCTTGATGGTATAAGAAAACAAGCATCTCAAACTTCTAACTAATCTAGCATGCTCATGACAAACATGAGTTAAAATGATTCGTTTATAATATTGTCTTAAGTCTCCAATTTTCATAAAGTGCGATATATAATTGCATACCCATTCATGAATTTCTTACTTCAGATTTCTAGAGTAAGAAACCAGAGTATTCTGAAAAAGCAACTTGACTGGAAATACAGTTACTATGACAAAGTTTCAAATCTCAGAGTTTCGATTCCATTCAACAAGAAAGCAAGCCTACATAATTCCACTACATACCAATACATGAAGGAACATGGGAAGCTTCACGATAAGACATTAAATTTTATATGAGTCAGCATAATATAGCGAGAAAACCAAACTAAAATGCGTCCTATTTTCCCACTATACAGGCAGTAACAACTAACAAGCAACGGTTCCTACCACCTTTACATGTTTTGGTTAAAATTTTTCCATAAAATTAACCGACATGATACATACAAATTACGAAAGAAAAAATAGGTAAAACCATAATAAAAACATATACCTTTAGGTTTCCCGGCATTTTTGACGCTAAAGCTTCTGCAAATTCAACAATTGCATGGTGTAGATAAATAGTGGTGGTGTGCTGGAGGATCTTACTTTGCTCCACCACAGCATTCACCACATCAGGATGGCAATGCCCACATGAGACTGTCACAATGCCAGCAAATGCATCAAGATAACGCTTACCACTCTCATCATATAAATATTGCATCTTCCCTTCCACAATGTTGAGCTGAAATAATTGTAATCATCTAAAATTATTAAGAAAATAAATCAAAATTGCAAAACAATATGGAAATGTCTGAGGAAAAAGAAGCACCTGTCAGTAAACATTCGATCTAATAATTTAAATATGCATTGGGCACGAAAAGGTACTTTCTATGATAATCTTAAAAGCTACAATGCATAGTTACACAGTCTGTGGTACGTAATGGGTCGTGGTAAAAATTCAAATACGCAATTCACCACTTAGAAAATTTGGATTCGAGGGGGGGCAGCTTGCTTCGGTATGCAAGTTCGCCCAGCGGTACTTTGTAAATTTCTGTTGACTACGCTTATAGTTTTCCAAATTGTATACCAGAAAGCTAGAAACTACAAAGCTAAGCATGCATTTCAATATTTTTTTTCATACAAACTACTTAAATACTTGTTTTTTTTATAGAGTTTGCTTTTTTTTCTATCTTTCTTTCTCATAGTTCGTGTTGGGATCCTGGTTTCATTTCACGTTTTATTAACATAAAGTATTTAGTTACAATAAAGTCGCCTCCTTTACTCAATTGCTCACATCGTATTGCATCCTGTGCATGTGAACTGAAAGACACTCTGAGCCCCGCATATTTGTAAGCGGTATGCTAATTTAAGGGGACCAATTCTTGTATCAGAGTGAATTGGTTCACAATGTACCAGGAATCAGTTTGCAAGAACTATATGACAGTTCAAGGAGGGAGGGAACCAGGAAATCGCACAACTATGCTACAAGGTTCCCTTTTGGAGGTAGATAAATTACCCTTTTGTCAAGAGAAAATTTCCAATAATTAGATAATGAAGTTGCTTCTGCATGATTTAGCAAGAGCTATATCCATACAAATATAAAATTTTGTCTTTGAGAATTTTCATTAACAAAAATTAAATCTTTGGGAGGAACCAAACAAAACCCATGTCCTATTCCTCAAAAAGGCACAAACTGTTGACCCAAATCAGGAAAAAGACCGCATAATCACTTAAAAGCCACATCGTTTTCAATGTGCCTTTGGCTTATGAAAACAAAATAAAAGACTAAATGAAGGTTAATTACCGGTTTCTGATAGTAATAAAACAGCGAGGGACCGAGAAACTCCTTCCTCTTCTTCATGATCTCATCTCCCATCATCCCTTTATACGGCCGAGGGTGGTGATCGAACGGC